TTCCCTAATAAAAAAAATAATAAGTAAATTAAATTGATATACAAATATTATTGTAGTATCAAATAATTTAATGCAATATTAACTTTCTTTCTCTGCTCACACTTCGACCTCGTGTATATTTGTCTTTATTTTCATTGTGATTTCTATATCTATATCTTTCTCTGCTTCTGCCAAAGTCTCTTCTTTCACTGCTCCTATTCCTTTCGTGCCTTTCTCTGCTCCTGCTCCTCTGTTTTTCTCTCCTGTCACTCCTACTACCACGTGAGCTATATCGCGTTCGTGATCTTGACCTTCTGTCTTGTGAATGACTGTCCTTATCTTTTGTGCTTCTGCAATTGAAATGCTTCATTATTATTCTGTAGTTATTCTGTAATTATTATCTATAGAAATATTTCCTTTTTCTTTCCTTCTTTTTCTAGACCAATTCTTTAGACTTAAATAATGATTTACTAAAATAATCTAAGATAATTTTAACCTTTTTCTTTCCTTCTCTTTCAAGACTAGTCTAAGATCAGTCTTTGAAGTCACCGAACCCCTTGTTGGACTGAACATTTTATTTCTTATTTTATCTCTACTTGGGCTGAACGATGATGATCGATTTCGAGGCGGAGTAGGACTCAATGTAGGTGTCCTAATATTATCCTCACTGCTGCTGTCAGACAGCTCACCATCTTCCATTCCTGCAGCTTTCGCCTTTTGCTTATTTTCTATCGCTTTTACTGTTTCATTATAAACAGTACTATTTTTGAGATCTTTTATCAATATTTTTCCTTGAGAAGGCTGCTTTGATTTTTCTATTCATAGAAAGATATTAATGTTATATGTGTTTTCTTCCTTTATATATATATTCTTATATACATTATTCTTAAGCCCAATTTTTCATTGGATGCTTTCCAATTGTTCAATATATCTTAACACAAACGTACACGGGAATACAGCATTCTAGAGCTTACTAATAGCCCTAGAGCTAAGAATAGATGTATAGTATTGTGTAGACGTTTACGGCAATTGCACCATATGCACAAAAATGTCTAGTAACTTTATAATTGGTACCCATTATCTGAGTAAACAAATTATTAAATTAACTGGTTAACTTGTGATTAAGCTTAACTTAATGTTTCACCCAATGAGCTTCATTCATATCATAGATAAAGCTCATTGGATAAAATATAGGTTAAGCCTAACAGTAAGTTAACTAGAAAATAGAAAATCAAATCTTAATTATATTCATATTATAAATCTTTTAACATTATATATACATTTAAAAAATAATTTATAAATATTATCAACAGCAAAAAGTACAAACCAAGAAGTTTAGGTATCACTGGCTCATCAGATTCATCATCCTTTTTTGATATAGGTGGTAACTGAGGACTCCCAGGATTATCTAAGAGTTTGTCTGTTGTATCTGAATCTTTCTTTAGATCATGAATATCATCTGGCTTTCCCTCATCACTCACATTAATTTTTTCTGATACCTCAAGATGTGATTTTGCATTATCATATTTGGTGTCTCCACAATCCTTATCATCATTCATCTTTGCTATTTTGGCCTTACTACTTTGACCCAAGTCGGATGACCTGCTAGAAACAGATTCATGTCTTCGCTTGGATTTCTTCTTGTGTTTCTTCTTTCTTTTGATACCTGATTAATATAAACAATGAATGATTATATCGTTATACAGTGCCAACTAATATGTAATGCACATTGTTACCATCAGCATCGCTATTATCCGAGGAATCGTGTTTTGATTTCTTCTTGTGTTTTTTCTCTTTGTGTTTATGTTTCTTCTTGATCTTCTTCTTCTTCGTTTGAAGTTCATCCGACTTATCGGTCTTGTCAACATCGCCATTCGACACCTGCTGGACGCTATTTAACGGCGACGCGACGCCGTCGTCCGGTGTGTCAAAGGTGCTGAACAGCTCTGTTAGAATCTCATTAGACGATTTTTCCGGAAGCCCGGGCTCCTGTTTAATCTTCACGCCATCGACGCCGACGGCCGTGATTAAGTTCGCGATGTCAAATAAATCTGTCATCACAATTACTCGGCTTATGTTTGCTTATTTATTTGTTCCTGTTCGACATGCATTCCCGCGCAATCTGCTAAAGTTGTACTAGCGCACCATAGCGCACTTCGCACTAGCATTCGAGTTGTATTATAAAGAGAGAAAATTCCGCAACAGCACCACGAGCACTTCGAGAAACTCGAAATAACCTCACTTCCGAAGTGTTCGCAGAAATAATCGATTGAGGTCAATTTCGAGGTTTCGATTATGGTGGAATTAAGCTGGAAACACAAGTGTTGAATTCACACTGCATCCGATTTTCGTCGTACGAC